TCCAGGTCTGAAAAGATAACAAATTGAGATTCAGTTATGTATCTGCTCCTAGGTGGGTAAATCGTAAGTGATTTACACATTCATATCCTTTCCCATTTATGCTGTTAGGCCATGTTGATTTGATTATATGGATGACATCCGCGCGCGCATGAATTTTCGGCCGTTTCCAAAAAAAAAAAAAGTTTCCAACCACACTGTAAATGGTACGAAACAGTTGCAAAATGAGCAAATATATACCGAAAGTTGCAAAAAAAAATATTTGAAAACGATTCCAACGTCATAGAATGCCAAAATCAAACAAAAAACTAAAATGCAAAGAAATGAATTTAAAGAGTAGATTATTCGCCATACCATACTCATTTGTTCAACCTTCATAACAACGTGGATTTCATGATCAAAAGCAGCTTTTTTTTTGCAAAACTTTTTTTTATTCGCGCGCTCGCATCAGTTTTGGGGTTCCTAGAGGATGTCATCCATATAATCAAATCAACATGGCCTAAGCGTAGCCAAGAAACAAAATCCTCCTAAAATCTCTGATAGAGAAAATTGACTCCTTTTCCTGATGAGTGTCCTTGGCAGACGTAATAAAGAAGAAGGAACATCTAGCTGGGAGTGGTGGCTTCTCAGGTTTAGGCTACACCATCTAAATTTGTTGGTTCTCGGATTTTTTAGAAAAAAAAATGAAGCTACGGGGTGAAAAAAAACAGGTCTAGGCATCCTATTACAGCCCCAAATGCTACATGTATGATAGGAGCCATGAAGTCAACACAAAAGGCTGGGTTAATATTTAAACAATAGATTTTGAACTTTTAATCAAACCACTGAATCAATAGATGGAAAAACTGTAACAAATAGGAAGAAAAGGACTTTTCTCAACTGTTGGGGGCAAATTTTTTTTGCAAATAAGAAAAAATCCGAGAACCAATAAATTAAATTGGTGTGGCCTTAGGCCTAGAAAAAAAATGTTGTGTTACCTGTTTTCCGACCGACCCTAGAAAAAACTGCTGACTCTAGCCTTTTTTGTGGGTGGACCCCTGCAAGGGACATAAATTTTTTGAGGTGATCAACCTTTTCTAGCTCCATGATCTGACACCTTAGTGATAAAACATTGTACAATCAGTTTTTCAGCATTGACATTGAAAATTAAAGTGTCCTCATGCAAGTTTTACTTATATTAAAGTTAAACTGTGTTGTATAAGTTGGATCACTAGAGATCGCTGAAGTATAAGAAAAGGAGAGAATTAAAAAGATATCCCAACCTACCAACCCTAAATTTTTTTAGAACTGAAACAACAAACGCAACATTTTTTTTCTGAGGCCTTACCATGGTTGAATAGGATGGTATTGATTTGCGTGTATGTGTGGTGCAAGTTTTGTCAGCGATCAATGATGGAGAAAACCCATGTAGAATGCATGATGTGCGATTTGCAAGCCTCCGACTGTAAATCAATGTACTGTGGTGTTTTGAGAGAGACATGCTTTGACCAGGGGTCTTGCCTGCAACGTTGAAGATCAATTCTGACTGTCTAGGATACTGCGAAATCTCAACAAGGGGAAGGTCGATAATACTGTAAATCAGAATTTTTTCATGGTACTTTTATATCCAGTTTTTGCTGTATTTAGCATTACCGTGAACAAATAATTCGCTTTCTTTTTGCTGCACCTGCCGCCAGTGCAAACGCATAATTCTGCGAACATGTTCACAGACTGCAAACTTATGTTATCGCAAACATAAAGTAATTTACAGTACTGCATATTGTGAAATTTTCATGTGAGTGAGCTTGTCAGATTGTAAAAATGTGCTGTCTTTTTGTTTCATGTGAAAAGCCTAAAGCGACGGTCACAACCCGCCGTACGTGCTCCTGCGTGCTGTCTACGTGCAAAAACATGGGCAATCGTACGGCATCCGTGCGTGGTGAGTACCACCTCCGTACGGAATCCTACGGATTTGGGAGCACGCAGACACGCCGTAGAACTTTAAGTGCATGTAGCACTTTTTCTACGTGCGGTCTGCGGATTTACCACCCGTGCGTGCGAGTACGTGCGACGTGCGTGCCCCGTACAGCCTATGAGCGTGCAACGTACGGACTCCGTGAGTCTAACTTCACTATTCTCACGTGCAATTGCTGTACAGACAGCGCACGAAGCACGTGCGTGCCACGCACGGTGCTTGCATCATCCGTGCTTACTCCTCACTTCCCAGTTGACCTGCGCAATGACCACGCAGAACACACGTGCACCATACCAGGTGCTCCGCACGTGCAACGCACCTGATCTCTACAGTATATAAAGACAACTTCACGGGCGACTGCCAACTCGTCTCCAAGATGCCCAGGAAGGCTCAGAAGAAGACTACCAGACAAGACCCAAAGAAACGGGCCGCGGAAGACACCAGGGCGGCTAGTGATGATGAAGTTAACAGGAGGTGCAGGCACTTACAACGTGCGAGTAAGGAAACCGTGCATACGCCGCACGTGTATGTACGGCCTGTACGCGGCAACGTAGCAATCGCACAGAGATCGTGCGTTGTAAGCACGTACAACTCACTTACCACTTGCGCAACGTACGATGCACGCAACCGCTCATGGCCAGGGTGGCGTGCAGACCACGTACGTACACCTTGCGCAACCGTGCGAGTGACGTACTCCCTCGGCCGGCCACCCTACGTTTGCAGAAAAAACGTAGCAGACGTAGCCACGACAAAAACGTACGGACAAAAAGCACGCACGGCGAGTTGTGACCGTCGCTTAAGGAACAACACTATAGGCATGCTCCTCTAGGAAAGTTTTGAAATCTTGACCCTCTATAATGCTATTTCCTACATTTTGAAGGGCAAATGTTGCTCATAGACTACAATGACATGTTGGTTTTGTATGGTTTTACATGCATCCATTACATGGTTTTATATATTGTTCAGTAATGACTATTGAAGAGATTTGAGAGAAATATTCCTTTACTCAGCATAAAGACGACTTTGACAAATAGCATTCTTGGGTTACATCCAAGTACAAGTACATCAAAGGCAAGTAATAAGAAACAAGTGGTTTGATAAGAAACTGCCCCAAGCACAAGCTTTCTTTCTGCAATCTTATCTTTGCAAGGGTCTTTTGTCTTCTCTCTTCTACATGATAGTTGCTCAAGGTGAAGGTATTCTGAACATGGTTATAGTAAAATGAGCTAAGGTCACACCAATTTAATTTCTTGGTTAACGGATTCGCCGCTTCATTTTTTTTCTGATTTGCAAATAAAAATAAAAATTCAGAATTAACTGCAAAATGCTTGTATTTTGCCCTGAACAGTTGAAAACAGTCCTTTTCTTACTACTTGTTACAGTCATTCCATCTTTCAATGCAGTGCTACCATTAAAAGTTCAAAATTCATTGTTTAAATTTTGCACCAGCCTGGTGTGTTGACTTTCCTCCTATCGTACCATAATACTAGTAGTATGCCTAGGCCTGGTTTTTTTTTTTCCGCCCGCCCGCTCCATTATTTTTCTAGAAAAATCCGTTAACCAAGAAATTAAATGGGTGTGGCCTAATGTTGCATTATTTTACAAATAGGAGATTTTCAAAACTGATGAGAATGGCACACAACCAGTATTCTACATGTATTCTCTTCAATGTTTTTCAGTCTTTTGTCATAAATACAACAGTCACAAAAGTCCTAAAGGTTTTTAAATTCTTTCTACTTGTACTAGACTTACAATCAAATTTCTACATTTTATGTCTTATGCCTTTCAGCTTAGTGCTTTGTTAGCTGTATAAGCTAAAAGTTTTTAGACAAATTGAACTATTTGTATAAAGAGTCCTGCAAGGATTTGCATCATAAAAGACAACATAAGACTTAGTGCAATATCTTGATTCTAATCTCTATATTTTATCTGTTTTCTTGTACGAAAAGTCATAAAACTTACAAAATTACATCTTTGAAGATGATCTTTACATGGCATTTATGTTGAACTATATATGTGTGTGTGGAACGGAACTCAAGAAAACATTGGCATACAGAGATATTGATTATTTCAAACAGAAACAGATGGGACCTACCCTTCATTCCTCTTCGTAAAGCTCTCCCTGTCAGGTATTGGCAAGAAAATCGTCTGTTTTCCTAATGATCGGGTCAGGAAGTTCACATCTCGGGCTCTTTCCCATCGAACCAAAAATTCCCAATGCAATTAGACGTCATCAGAACGATTTTAAAAGCGGGGAGATCGCTATTGATGTCCAATGGCGGTAAGCCAGTCATTCGTCTTCGGGACAATTATGGTCCATTTTTAATGAGAAACAGGAACGGATGTATTTTCTTGTCTTACGTTGTCTGAGTTACAGAAATTGTGTTACGCCCGTGTTCTAGCCAGTCTGAATTTTTACATTAATTTTACATGTATGAGTGCAATTGCTTGTAGGAAACGCTGTTTTGCAAGGTTATCAGCTCTGTGTTACATCATTGAAAACTGAACTGAAGCATGGCCATACAAATGGCTCATTGGATTGAATACCAGATAGATGAAGCAAATTTGTTCAATGTTCTATATATGTATCTGAAATGGGAAACACAATGTATTTATCCTTTCATCTTACATGTATGTACATTGTAGCAAAAAATCTCTGTGCAATTGTGTGCATGTTTGTTTGTGTTGTTGATACACATACTGGTACTGGGGATATCCATCTGTACATCTAGTACATCTAGTATAGTCCCCGACCCTCAGACATGAGGATGGGACTATGTAAAAAGTAAAAAGGTACATCTAGAATTAGGATATGACAGACTGAATACTTTCTCAGGTTTTTACTAGCATTTTGATGAGCATTGGGCCATATCTTAACACACCAATTTTTGACAAAGAGATATTTGTCTGTCCTGAGCGGCAAAATTCCATCAAAGATAGACACTGGCTGGAACACTGAGAGAAAGTGCATATACATGTAATGTGGCAGCAGGTGAACAATTCAGAGCCTATTACTGTCTTTAAGACTATTCCATACCTGAAGGGGTCTCTAGTTGCTTGTGAGGAGGTCAACTGTCCATCGGCTGTCCACCAGCTTTTCTCTTAAGCTGTCCTGGAGATGTCCTGCAAAGCTTGTGAGATATGCTGTCCAGTTTGTGAGATGTGCTGTCAAAACTTTCACCTTGACCTTGAGGTGTGCTGTACAGTTTGTGAGATGTCCTGTGCAGACTTTCACGCTGACCGTGAGCTGTGCTGTACAGTTTGAGATTTGCTGTCCAAACTTTCACACTGACCGTGAGCCATGCTATACATGTTGTAAGATGTGCTGTACGGACTTCCACACTGACCTTGAGCTGTGCTGTACAATTTGGGAGCTGGATTGTCTAAACTTTCACACTGACCATGAGCTGTACAGTTTGTGAGAAGTGCTGTCCGGACTTTCCAGCTGACCTTGAGCTGTGCTGTACAGTTTGTGAGATGTGCTGTCCAGACTTTCACACTGACCATGAGCTGTATAGTTTGTGAGAAGTGCTGTCCGGATTTTTAAGGTGACCGTGAGCTGTGCTGTACAGTTTGTGAGATGTGCTGTCCGGACTTTCACACTGACCGTGAGCTGTGCTGTACAGTTTGTGAGATGTGCTGTCCGCAGTGTCTGGACTTTCACGCTGAGCGTGAGCTGTGCTTTATAGTTGGGGAGATGTGCTGTCCAAACTCTCAGGCTGTCCTTGAGCCATGCTGTACAGTTTGGGAGATGTGCTGTCCAAACTTTCGCACTGACCGTGAGCCGTGCTGTACATGTTGGGAGATGTGCTGTCCGAACTTTCGTGCTGAACTTGAGCCGTGCTGTACAGTTTGGGAGATGTGCTGTCCAAACTTTCACACTGACCGTAAGCCATTGACTGACCCTCTGATTTGGGGACCGGTTGTTTGACGTTTGTTGACTGTTGGTTAGCGACATTTGTAAGTGACGCATAACCTGCCCCAATGTTGCCTTGTGGCAGTGATTGACGCCTTGTTTGGGTGACCGGTTGTTTGACATTTGTTGTCAGTTGGTTAGTGATATTCGTCAGTGACATATAACCTGCCATTGTATGGACTCTTGGCAGTGACTGACTCCTTGGTTTGGAGAATGGTACTCGGTCTTCATCGCGGGTCACTGCGTATGACTGAAGCTGTGGCCCTGGGTCTTCATCGTGGGTCACTGCATATGGCTGAAGCTGTGGCCCTGGGTCTTCATTGATGGAGGTTGTCGCATACGGAAAAAGCTTGCCATTTTGTCCCTTCCCTGACACATCAACATAGGACACGGCATATGGTTGGATGTCATCATTGTCTTCTGCTGGCTGGATGTCATCGTTGATATGTACAGCGTATGGCTCAATGTCATTGTTGTCTTCTATTGGGTGGATGTCACCGTTGTCTTCTATTGCCTGGATGTTAGCAAAGGACGTTGTTGCGTACGGCGCAAGCTTGCCATTTTTCCCTTTCCCCGACACATCCATGTATGACACAGCGTACGGCTCAATGTCATTGTTGTCTTCAATTGGCTGGATGTCACCGTTGTCTTCTATTGGCTGGATGTTAGCAAAGGACGTTGTTGCGTACGGCTCAATGTCATCGTTGTCCTCTGCTGTCTGGTTCTGAGAAGGACTTGTTCGTCTGCCTGATGCTCGCAGTCCGGCAGAGTTTGAGTAGGCAACAGCGTACGGCTCAATCTTTTGGCTTCCATCTGTTCCAGCAGGGGCGTTGTGAGGGGCCAGACCTGTGCCGTGACGTTCGTACAAGTAGACAACAGCCCCCGATACCAACACCATCAGGAGGGGCACAACAACAGC